ACTTGTGTTCCAGTGTACAAATCATTGTACTATTCACATCTGAATACCATACCTCATTAAATATGTGCCACGGAGTAACTTCAGCCTGAAGAAATTGCAAGTAGCTTGTCATGCTTCCTGTTTCATCCTCAGCTTTGACAAGCAACAGCTGAGTTTAGGATGAAGCGGTATGAGGCCATAAGTACATGGAGAAGCTGAAGATGGGAAGAACTTTTCCCTGCTTCTCAAATATAAACAAGGGGACATCAAGTGACAGTGAGGGAAGATCTTGAACAAAAGAAGCTACTTTCTCACATCATATGTGATGTGGAATTCCTTGCCACAGCATTTAATGGGAGTGAAAAAATATTTTTGACTGAAAAAGCTGGAGGAGTTCATAGAAGAGTTCACGTGCTGTTTAAATACAACAGAGGTAGAACCTTTGTCATTTAAGCTGCATATTGTCAGAGGGTAGTTAATATTTAAGTGATTGTGAAATGGGTGAATTTTGTTTCTGACCTAAGAAGCCTTCTGTTCTTTTCACCATTATTTTTGTTTTGTCAAACAGGAGGCTTTTAGTGAATTATTCCTTTGGGGCCAGTTTAACAAGTCAAGGTTAGTATCTGCTTGCTAATACCTGCTAAATAATGTTCTGTTCTGTTGTGTTAGCATTTTGTAGAAATCACAGATGACCAGTTTGACTTTCACACCTACTGCATGAGGAAGATCACCCTGAGGTCTTATGTGGACTTGTTAAAACTAGAAGATGTGCTTCGACAACATCCCTTCTACTTCAAAGCAGCACGAATTGCCATAGAGATCTATTTGAAACTTCATGATAATCCCTTAACAGATGAGAATAAAGAACACGAGGCTGATACAGGTATTCAACCCTCAGGATTTATTAATACACAGTTTCACTGATTAGTGGATATTTTATGAAGAGCCAGCATTCTTACACTTGTCAGCTGTAGCAGACAGAAATTGGGAGTCATAACAAAACTCAAAGTAGGCAAATAGTGGTAGATGTTCTACTGGAAATTAAGCTAACATGTTTTTATTTTGGTTCTTATTAAACAGTGATGGCTCTTGTAGTGACAACTGTAATTCTTAAGTAAAAATGTATTTGTGTTATGAAATGGCTGATAAAAGAGAATTCTCATGGTTGTTGGTCCAAGCAGGTGTGCTTCATGGTAGTTCTTCCCAAGCTTTTTAACAGTATGCAAAAATGTGAGTAGGTAGCAACTTAAGTTTTATTATCTATTGCTTCTGATGTAAAAATGCTGTTTAAATCCATCAGTTTTGTTTTTTGGTTCTCATCTGTGATTGGAGAGCAGCTTAAGTCTTGGAGCACCTCAAATGGTTATGAAGAGAGGCTGTTGAGTCCTTCCAGAGAAGCGTGTCAAACTTTAGTATTTCTCATCTCATTTTGTTTCTGTGGCTTCAGGTTCAAATTAAGACAAGTGTAATAGGGTTTCTGGTAGCCACTTTCTGATGTTTTAAATTAATTCTCCATGCTTTAATTGTAGGGAGGGAGAGGATCTGAATATAAATCAAATGTAAAATGCCTGTAGGGCACTAAAAGCAAAGGTGCAACTGTCTGTACTGAAGTGTGACTATTTAACCTTTTTGTTAGACCATTTAATTACTATATTAAACATAACTTGTGTAATCCCTAAGGAATAAATCAATGTGTGGTGTGCACTGCTGCTCCTGGCACTGGATTTGTGCAGTCATGCAGTAACTTTCTCATACCTTTAGTGTATTGTGCTATTGTTATAATTCCCATTTTGCTGATTTCACAAAGGAAATTATGAAGCAGCAGCATAGACTGTAAAAGAACCTGTCAGTATTAGATCAGCTTTTACAAATGTAATGGCAGTATTACCAGTGAATAGGTGTGGTTTAAAGATGGTGATGGTGTCTGGCAGCTGATGGAGACTGTTAATATCAGACATCAACATTGTCTGGTTCTGCCCTTTGCTTGTGTACAGCAAATATGTCTGACAAGGAGCTAAAGAAGCTACGAAATAAGCAAAGAAGAGCACAGAAGAAAGCACAGCTGGAGGAGGAGAAGAAGAATGCTGAGAAAGAGAAGCAACAGAGGAATCAGAAAAAGAAGAAAGATGATGATGATGAAGAAATCGGAGGACCGAAAGAAGAACTTATCCCTGAGAAATTGGCAAAGGTGCTTACTAATGTAATAATCAAGTCATGGAAATGTCTAGCAAAGCTACAGTCAGCACAGATAGAATTTGAAAGCCATAAAAGTAATTCTTTTCTAGGAATAGTTTCTTGGCTCTACTGCCAGTGATGTGATAAAACAACTCTTTTGGCTAGTTCTCAAAGGCAGCAATTTAAGCCATAGATTTTGCTGCAGCTGGAATTGTCATGTGTGCATTGGACTAACTTGTTGATTATACCCTATTTCTAGTTGGTCGGATGGAAGTCTTTCTATTCTATATGTAAGGTGATTATCATTCATATTTATGTCCCATAATTTTTTATTTAAGTATAGACAGCCTGTTAGAGGAGACATTAAAACACTGAATGCTTTAACAACATTTATTTGCATTTGTTTTGAATGGGGGGCAAAAAAAAAGGATAAAGAAGCTGTTTGGAAATGCTATTAGACTAGACTGAGATGATTTTGAGTTCTGGATTGAGAACTGTAGAGATATATAAAGGGGAGGTGACCCATAAGACTATTCTCATGCTAAAAGTTGTACCTGTGAAGAGCAGGAAAACACTGGAAATATGTGGGGAAAGAAAGGAAAAAGAGTAGAAAAATTAATTTATAATAATAGTGGTATAATTTCCAAGTATTGATACATACAGTATTTGCTATTTTCACATTACATGTATAATAATTAATATTGTGTCTTGAGGGGATGATACTTGAAAGCTAAGGCAGTGAGCTTCACTCTGTAGCCAGAAAGCAAGTCACTTAAAACTTGACCAGTCATTTAAGAATATTGTTTGTATTCCCATTGTTTACCTTGCTGGTTGCAAGAAGCAGCACTCTTAACTGCAGTGTTAGCTGGGATTGAAATGCTCACAGTGGGGTGTATTGAAATTGAGGGATGCTGTGGGGTATCCCTGGAAAATCCAAGGCAGTCCTCAAGATTATAGGGAATAGTTGCAGCTGCATAATGGATTCTTTGGGGAAATCTTCCCTAATTATATTTCAAATTTAATGTCAGAATCGTGATCTAGGCAGTCCTAAATTGAATTAGTTCCTGTCATCAGGACTATTTCTGACATAGGGGGTTACTTTTCACTTTCCCTTGAACAGCTGCACCTAGACTTCTTTGGATATGTAGCTTTGGTATTAAAGGCATAGCTTTGAAATCTGTTTTATTACAGGTTCCATGTAATTTTAAGTGCACAGTTGTGACTGTTTGCAACCCCAGAACAGCACATCTAAATCATGCAGGGTTTTCTTATGAAAACTGCTGTAGTGTATGGCTAGCAGGGACTCCATAAAGTGTTCATCCATTGCCTTCCACTCAATGCTACAGTTTTGTATCTGATCCTTGGAGAATAGCTCACACTCATAAAAACATAAATATGAAGGACAGCAGAGTTCTTGTTTGAAGGATCTGTACCCTCTAGATGCCAGAGATCTGTCTGTAAGGAAGCCTTGCACAGAATTAATGTGTTAAAGCTCTCCATTTACTAGATTACACTAGCTAAGAGCAGGATCAATATCTGGTTAGTTCAAGCTTGCTGTTAATATCCTGGCTGGAGTTGTCACCATGACCTGGCAGCTTTCAAGGTCCCATTGACTCTTTGATGGACATAAAGCAGTAATTTGCCAACATCTTGGGCCCCTATGTGTAGATGGCTTGGGCAGCCACACTGCCCTTGGCAGTGCAGGTTCAGCTGCAGCTGTTTACTACTGATGTATGATAGGAGGCAAAGACTTCTGTCTCTGTAGGAACATTGATTTGTAACCATCACAAAGCAATTTTTTTAGACTTCAGTCTGTGTTTAGACACTGATTTTGAGTGAAAGATGCAAAATTTGTTACAAGAGGCTCTAAGCATCTTCTGCATTGCCCTGTGAGAGTAACCCTCAGATGTGACTCACAGATAGCTGATTCTGTTGTTGTAGAGTTATTGGGTTTAAACTTAATTGTGTCATTTCCTTGAATCTGTAGGTTGAAGCACCTTTGGAAGAAGCCATTAAATTTTTAACACCCCTGAAGAATTTAGTGAAGAACAAAATAGAGACACATCTTTTTGCCTTTGAGATTTATTTCCGAAAAGGTAGGTGAGGAAAATGAGAGCAGTCAGTTGGCAGCTCATAAAGATGTAGGTTAGAACTTGGGCAAAAATGATGGGTTAAATATAAGCAGTCAGTCCCTCATGAGACACACACCTTTTCATTGGACCAACGTGCCAGCCACGAGCAGTCTGTAAAAACCAAAGTTTGAGCATTTAGTGATTATCCACTTTCTTTGCTGTAAGTAATGAGACTGTAATTAATTCTCCCAGCTTGCATGCACCCCAGTTATTTATTTGTATCTGTAGTTGAGAGCTACACACTGTAAAGAAGTGGTGTACAGCTGCTAATGAGAGCTGAAACACTTGACTTTTACATTCTTTTATGGGTTGCATACTATGCTTTAAGAACTTCCTATGTTCAAATTTGCTCATTAGTTTAAGAAGCTTAATTCACTGGTTAAATAAACATCAGCAAAACCAGCTGTTCCAGGACAGTCAGCTTTAATTTCTTCTGATCATTCTATTTCAAACACTGGATACTCCTGCACAGCTTTTTGAACACATGCCAACACTTTCTTTTCCAGAGAAGTTCCTTCTGATGCTTCAGTCTGTAAAGAGAGCCTTTGCTATTGATTCCAGTCATCCTTGGCTTCATGAGTGCATGATTCATCTCTTCAGCAGTGGTATGTATCAGTTTGATGTGATTTCATCTCTACGTGCTTCCAAGTGATACCTGACTCACAGTCATTGATTTTTAGTTTATAGACTGTTAGCACAATTAGTGCAAAGTATTTAATACACACATTAGCTTTTTAAACAACTGATTCATGCTAAAATTAAGTATGTTTATTATGACTGCAACAGGATTTAGCAGTTAAGACTTGGCAAGCTAAGTCTTTTTAGGATAGAGTAGTATGGTGGACCCCTGCAAGAGTGGAGAAATGGGAACTGCAGAGTGAGGAATCTGGCTCTCCTGCTGGCAGCCTGTGTCAGCATGCAAGGAGGAGCTTTAGAATTTTGTCCTTTTTGTTAGAAAGAAGGTTGGAAGGATTCTTTCCCTTCCCCCCAAAGATCATCCTTTCTGTTGATGGCTACAGGTTTGATAATTTAAAGAACAGACTTGTATGATCTCAGTCTTTTAGCCTAAGAGATTTTAATCAGTAAGGGGGAGAATGTATTGCAGTAAAAAGGCTTTGGCTTTTTCTAAGGATCAGAAAACTCACAACTAGGCTTTTGCCAAGATCCAGTTATTTACCTGTTTTGAGTTTCATGCATTCTCAAGATCTTTTTTACAGTTGTATTAATAACATAAACATGATAACTATTAAATGCATAAAGTAGATTTTGCTGTGATTACTTATGTTCACCCCAATTAACTTGTTCTTTCCAATTATTTACCTATCTTGAGTTTCATGTATTCTCAAGATCTTTTTTACAATTGTATTAATAATGTACACATGATAACTATTAAAATAAATGCATAAAGTAGATTTTGCTGTGATTACTTATGTTCACCCCAATTAACTTGTTCTTTCCAATCACTAGTATCTGAAAGTAAAGATCTGCCTGATGCAGTTAGAACAGTGTTAGAACAAGAAATGAATCGGCTTTTTGGAGCAACTAATCCAAAGAACTTCAATGAAGCTTTCCTTAAAAAGAACTATGACTCACTACCACATAGGTTATCAGGTATTTGGCCTTTTGCATTTTTCTGCCCTGCTTCTGTGTTTTCTCTTCTTATCTAGCAGTGGCATCTTGCTAATAGCAGCAGTGATGTAAAAATCTCTTTCCATCAGGAATGCTTTCCTTATCAATAGTGGGTTTGTGATAACATGGCTACCAGCTTGGCTCTGGTTTTAATTTCCTCTCTATGCTGCTAAAATACAGATTTTTGCCCCTCTCTGCCCTTTTTTCACTTCTGATCCATGCTGAATGGTATCATAGGTCTGTAACTGTATTTCACACCTCTGTGAAGCAGTTCCTGTGAGCTGTGGGGCTGCTTACCTGTCTGTAGTGACCACCTGTTACAGTGGGTCCCACCTGGGAATCAGTGCCTCAAGTGATTCCATTTTGAACTGCACAGTTCAGTAGCCCCTCTGTCACATTATCTCTATCCTATGTTTGTATATAAGTCATTTTTGGTCACCACTGGGTGATGGAGCTTATTTTTCTTCCCATAGCTGCCAAAATGATGTACTATTTAGATCCTTCCAGTCAGAAAAGGGCAGTGGAGCTGGCGATGACCCTGGATGAGTCCCTCATTAACAGAAATCTTCAGGTAACTTACTTACAAATTGTGAATAACTTCTGGTATTATATATGGATATTTTATGCAAATTATGGAGGTAAGAGGAAGCTGAAGTAATTCCTGTGCCTTATGGTGAGGAGGTTGGGTTGTTTAGGTTGGTAAGGAGGTTGGATTTTGTTGTCTAGGTTTTTTTTGTTACTGTCTCAAAGAGCTTCAGGTAGATTATCAATAGATTTAGAAAACAAATATTCAGTTGCCTTCAAGAGTATTGTTTTTGCCTCATAGCTGGGTTTTTGCCTCAGAGTGGGACTCTGGGAATTGGGCAGGGGGAAGATTAACATGTAAGCAAAAACACTGGTGGTTTAGAGGTGTTATGCTGGTAGGACTACAAGAAGCATTTACTGATTCAGCAGTGTATAAAAATTATATACACAGCACTGTGGAAAAACTGAGACAGTCTAATTTAAGTGTTCTTGGTGCCAACATAAACTAAGAGTTGGAGTTGTACTGAACTTTTAGATGGGAAATTGAAAGTGCCCTAAAAAAAATGATGAATCCAAAGGAGTCTAGGCATTCATTAAAAGGCATTCTTGTGTGCAAAGAGATCAAATTTATTACATTTCATTTCAGTAAAGACCAGCTGTCTCGGGGCACATTGCAGCCCTAAATCTAGATGGGTTTGACCTTCTGTGGCTGCCAGTGTCACAAAGAGCAAATGTGAGGAAAAGGGGTTATTGGAGAGAACTTCATAACTCCCTAGGAAGAGGACAGAGCAGTTAAGCTCAGACCACAGAACAAATAGAAGCTATAGTAAATGTCAAAGGAGTGGAAAAAGACTAGCTGACTATGCTGATGCTAGCATAGACAACAAGGGTGGGTGTTAAATATTGTCAGGCTGTAGTGAAGCTCAGTGGGCTGGTTTCTCATGTTTAGAATGCAAGCTGAAAAACAAACAAACCCCCCCAAAAATCTCCTGTTTCTTTTCTAAATCATGAACAAAAATGACTATGACATAAACTGCAGATAGATTTGAAGGATAATATCTGACTGATCTGGTTTGATCACTAGTTACAGACACACTTCAGTAAGTCACATATACTGAAATTTAAAAATGCTGAGTTTTTTTTCCTGCCAGGAATGTTTTCACATCTCATTAATGTTCTTTGGCTGATGCTATTTCTACGTTTTAATTATATCCCACAACTCTCTCAATTCTATCTGAAAGCATGTTCACACAAGTCATTCTCAGGAAATTGTAGTACCTATTCTGAGTCACTGCTTTTATCTGTGAACACTGACATTCCCATGCACGTTGTGTAGCACTGAAGTGCTCAGTGTATCCCAAGATTTGGAGCACGGGGAACCACAAGCCCAAAAAAACACCTTTAGTTGCAAGCAAGGCTGGTTCTTGATTGCCAGCTAGCAGGGGTCAACATTTTCTTAGGGATATAAGAAGCAGGTAACAAATGAGTGTTTTAATTTTCAGTCAGGATTTCTAGCTGATTTTAAAATCCCTTTTTAAACTGCATTATTTCAAATCAGACTGCACTGGTACTTCATGCTGTGTCTAGTTAAAAACATCATTTGATACTGATAGAAACCTGAGAGATGCTTAGAGTTTGTTTTCTTTGTAGTATTGTTTCTGATTTGTCTCTATTCAGATGAATGTTTAAGAAACCATAACATTTGTTTATTTTTTTTTCTTTTTAATTAGACTTGTATGGAGGTATTAGAAGCTTTATGTGACGGTAGCCTTGGAGACTGTAAAGAAGCATCTGAAACTTACAGAGCAAATTGTCATAAGCTTTTCCCTTATGCTTTGGCTTTCATGCCCCCTGGATATGAGGAGGATATGAAGATCACAGTTAACGGAGATAGTTCTGCAGAACCTGAAGAACTGGCCAATGAAATATGAACAACTTTATTGGAAAAAAATGACATTGGACCATATCTGGTGTATAATATTTTTGTCACGCACCTGCTGAATTGTTCTAACTTACACAGAGAAGAGAAGGAAAAAAAAAAATGTTGCCTTCAAATAGTTTTACTTTTTTTTTATCCTGCTGACAAAGTATATATATAAAATATCTAACATATTACTGGATAGAGGTTGTTCGGTTTCTTAAAAATCAAAAGCTGCTGAAATTGAAGAAAACAAACAAAAAAAAACCCTTCTCCTTACCTACCTTACCCATGTTTTTAAACTAATTTATATTAAATCTGGAGGCGTGTAGCCCTCGGAGCAGGTGTGTGGCAGAAATATTACTTTAAATTTGTCTTGTGAGATTACTGTTATCTCAGACAGCAAAACGGCTGTTTTAGCACTGGATTCTTTCACTGAGCACAAAGAGTTGATGGGGCTTTAGCATCTGACTGATTTTGCTCCGGGGATGATTCTGTCCATAGGAAGTATGCAATGGGAATCAGAACAGACAGACACCCGCAACGGACGCGTGATGTTGTGGATGCTGGGACATAATGGAGATCAAGCAGAATTAAGAAACATAGTGTGTTCAATAAGCTTGTTGTGTCTCTGAAATTCACTGTACACCATCAGTTTGGTGTTCTTGCACCACAGTTTTTACCCGAAGGAACCAGTTAAAACTCTTTCTCTCTCTCTCTCTTGGAATTAAACTGGGGGTGGGGGGCACTGGGGGGAGGGAGAATCATTGCTGTTCTTGAGATGAACCTATCAGCATAGGTTGGCCAAATCTTTTTAAAACTGTAATGCAAGAACCAAATAAAATTATGCACTGTGATGTGGCACCAACTAATTAGAAAGATAGCATGCATTTTTTTCACATAGAGTGAAAACAAAATGAGAACATAACTATGGCTTGAAGTTGCAAAGAGGAGAACTCCTGACTACCATGTTGACTGATCAAGAGACTAATAGTTTAAAACCTCAGCAGGCCTTGTTCACGTTATGCAGAAAAAAAAAAAGTGCTGCAGTTTAGATACCTCTGGAACTTTTCCACAGTGTCACAGGTTTGTAATACTTGAAGCCCTACATTTCTAAGAATATATTTCTTGCTCAGTTGTTTCAGGCAAGCCCAAGACTTTGTAACTTTTAAGGGGCCCAAGATTTTTTTTCAATAACAGACCAGCTTCTTATTCCTGCAGTTACAGATGTAATTTCCTTTGTCAAACATAAGGTACCAAATATAATGCAATAAAACGTTTTAAAAAACAATTGTGTGAATATTTAAACCAATCTCTGTTGTACTTTGAAAACGAATGGGTTCACTAGAGTGCAGCTCAGGGCTGGCTTACTGTGCTGTCCAGTTACACTAATAATGTCACTGCTGATGGGTGGTTGTTGAATATAAAGTGCAAATGCATTATCTGTAAATACTGAATGTCTGGGAAGTCCTAGAACACCCAATGCTTTACTACTTGGCTTTTCAGTTCCACCAGTGTTACGTTGAACTTTATTTTCCAAGTCAAGCTTCAGTCTACGAGTCTATTGTGTTAATAATATAGATAAGTGCTCAAATGTTGTTTTCTTTTCTAATAGGCTCATCCTACAAAACAGAGCAGAAAATAAACTACAGCTTATAAAGTGAGTGCCTTCTTTGCTGCAGGAGTTCAGTTACAGAGTTCTGTCGTGTGGACACACAGCCTTCTCTTCCAAATCATGGAATTCAGTGATTGACACACAGAGTTAAGAAATCCAGGAAGACTTGTTGGCGTTTGTAGTTTTCTAACTGTTGAAAGAACAGGTTTTTGTTCGTTGTATTTCCAGCACCACTTTCTTTTCATGGTTAGACTACCCTTGTGTATGTTTGCAGTGTAGTTCATGTCAGAAATGTAAGTCGTATTGCTCTATTTGTATATTTAATCTGCTGGGCTTTTAGGGACTAGAATACCTACAGAGCCTTTAATTGACTCTGGTATTTATGTCTAGGTCTCAGTCTTTCCTGCAGCCTGAGAGCCTTGGACTGCATGTCTTCTGCAGCTGCTGAAGATGGTTCAATCTTGCCTACACGAGCTATGAGCTTTTGGCCTTGCCTCTGAGTATTGCTGCCGTTTTCTTGGCTTCTGATGCTTAGCTAGAGGCAGATGAGTGCTCCCTCTTCTTAACAGATTGTGAATTGCATCAAGCAATTTTATTTCTTTTTTCCCCCAGTTGTTTGTTTTTTTGGGTGCTGCCTATAAATGGGATTACTTCCTTTTCTTTTTCACTGCCTGTTTTTCTGTTGAAATAGATGAACAAAAAGCAGGAAGTTATCTGTCATTATGCAAGTGGGAAAGGATATTTCTGTGAGCCTTCCAGAAGCTTCCATCTACACATCTCTTGTGATTTCCTCAAAGACATTTCTTCATAATCTTGCTGAAGGGTATCCTTTGTGCTTCAGAGATGATGCTTTTGGATTAAAGAGGTTCCTCATCCCCTTCCAGAAGACTGCAATCCCAGGAAATGAAGTTAAGTCAAGAGTTTACCTGAAGAAGGAGGTTCTTTAATTGGCAAAAGAACTGCTATTCCTTCATCTTCACATCTCTCCTGTCAGATGTGATGCTAACTCCTGAGGAAGAGTTTTAAAGAGGTGGAAATTAAGTTACAGTCCAGTGCAATGAGTCTTGCAGAGCAGCAGTACAGAGTGCCATGTGAAAACATCCTTTGCATGCTGAGGCCCAAAAATTGTTCTCAGTGATTCTTCACTGCCAAAGCAGGTGAGCTAGGATTGCAGTCATGGCCAGAGTGAGCTAGAATATTTGCTTACTAATAAAATAATTTGGTTTGATTCTTCAAGAAAGGTGTTTTCACCATCAGTGGAGCCACTGGTGATGATGTAGGCCATCAGTACTGTTCCTGGAGAAAAAGAAAGTTCAAACAACAAATTTTCCCTAGCTAGAGACTGTAGATGGTGCAAATGCATGATACATGAAGCAATGCCAGAGTCAGAAGTTGACTTAAAATTGTAAGTAACTGAAAGTGGTTGTTTGCCTCGATGATAGTTGAGGTTCTCACTTTTTCCAGTTGGAGACCAGAGAGTTTAGACGTGTATGTGTGAACAAGCAGGTAAAATAGTCTCAAAATGATGTATTTGGTAACTCATTTCATTTTTTTCCATCTTAAATGCCTTAAAAGCCTCTATAGTCTTTTACAGTTAATGGTTTGTGGGTTTGTGTTTTTTTTTTAAGTAGAGGTCTTAATACTTCCATGTTGTTAGAGGTGTCATTAAAGTTTTTCTCCCAAGGTAGGGAGAAAATTCCAAGTGTTCCAGGGAGCTCTCTGGGGCTAGATGAGGTACATACAATTAGCCTGTTATTAGATCTTCCTTTAGTGTTTGCTTTGGTGTGTTTTTGCAGGTCTGGAGGTGCTCCAGCTGTACAGTAGACCTTGGAAGTTGGTGTAGCACCTGATGTCCTCTTCAGACAGATTGCATTGCCAGTGTCTTCACAGAAAACACCAGGGAGAGTGGGGTGAGGTCAGGCCTGAGAAACCAGAGGTGCAAATATAATTTCAGTATCACACAAGCAAGTTCAAATGAGAAAACTCAAGATCTTTGTCTGACATGAGGGCTTGGGCAATGGTGCCACCATTCCTGCAGTGCTAGCGTCCCATATGCCACAGCTGTGCTTCCAGTGAGAGCCACTCAGGCCACCAAAACCTCTACATGCAGTAATCCTGCCCAACATACCTGAACTAAAATGTCTTTTTTTTCCCCCCTTTTCATGATCACGTCAGTGTTTTTGTAAATGTTCAGTACTGGGTAGCTTTGGAGGCTTCCCCTTGTCTTTCCCCCTAGGAAAGTTTGCTCTAAAAATGCTGTTTGTACCTAAGTGGTAATGTCAAATAGCTCAAACTATGTGGAAGTAAGAGTTAGGCTTGTCTGATTACATACAGCTTTGGGAGTCTGGGGGGGAAAATGATGCCAAGGTAGTATAATTAATCCTGCCAGTAAGGAATTGAGCAGTCTATAAGCTCATTAATGAAAGTTTAAGTTCCAGGTGGAGGAAAATGGTTGCTGAGCTTAGGGAAGGACTCTTGCTGCCAGGAGCTTCCAGTTGTGGACAGTTCTTGGATGTGGTTAAGGAGCTACAGGAGTAGACTTCTATAAAACTCATGGTCCTGTTGTCATGTTTCTATTTCCAGCTTTAATGCCTGTTTCAGGCACTCTTCTTCCCAAGAGCACACAGCCAACAGTGGAAATGGCAGGGAGCAACTTGGCAAAAGGAGACTGAAGTGAATTACAAGGAGGTGGCATAATAGAAATTCCATTTTAGATAAAGTATGAAATAGCTTTTTTATTACTAGAAAGATTTCTGAAGCTGTAAATACTATCAATGCAGTCTTCCCATGCCAAGGAAGCTGTAAATGAGTATTACTTTTGGAGTGGTACAAGCAAACAGTATGTTCACAAAGGTTCTAGCTTTGTATGTTGGTCTTCAAGTAAACTGTGGCAGAAAACCTGGAGGACAAAGATTGCCCATTTTACAAGGGACCATATCAAAGGGTTTGTAAGAATATTGCAAAGGAAATGTTACCAGAAATCCCAAAGCATCTTAGGATGGTTTTCCTAAGATGTTTGTTGTTTTAATTGAAGATGTTACATCTGCTAACCATTCATAACAGAGGGCAAAAAGTACTTCTACAAACTATTTCTGCCTGGCACTGCCCATTCAATATCTACCTCTGCTAGTCCTAGTCTAGTTCAGCTACTGCATAATTTTAGCCATTTAGCACATAACATAGGAAAAAAAGTGTCATTTACCTGGTTGGTGAACAAATGTATGATGATGGAGAACGTTTAGTTTTAAACTGTAATGCAATAAACCCCACAAACTTAGTGAAAGTCCTGTTGTTGGTTCAGTGCAGCAGCAGATTTATTGCTTCGTTGCTGATCCGTTCAAAAACAAATCAACTCCACCAAGTTACTTGCAATTGTACTGGGATTTGCTTTCCCTTCCAGCCTTCCTAACTGGCTAACCATGTTGTACTGTGTTTTTATGCTCTTCTCTGGTGGTAGCAAATATCAAAACTGGCAGGAAGTCAATCAATGAATAAAAATGCTGAGTTCTGTTTGTAAATGAGTGCCAGTGTTTCCTTGTAGGTTCAGCGTCCTCCTTAGGGGCCCACCAGCTTTGTAATAAATGATCCATTGACTAGTTCCCTGAATCCTGCATTGTCTCCCTCCATGCTGACGGGCTGTAAATTGGGGTGTGGGCCTCACAAAGGGGGAGAAGGTCAGCAGGTAAAGGCTGTTGCTCCCTTTGGAGTCAGGCTGGAGGAGGATCACCTTGGCAGGGAGCTTGCTCCTACCCTACAAGCTAATTGTGCATACATATAAAAGGATCTTTCAGGCTACAAAGAGCCAGTGTGGGGACTTGGGAAACCCCTTTGCTGAAGGATTGGGTAACTGGGGTCTGAATGGAGAAGCATGGGCCATTTTCCTCAGATAACATCTGAAGAGGAGGAAATCATCAATCTCAGTACCCTCCTCTTCCCCACCCCTGAGCCCACAAAGCTTTCCTGACCCAGCATCCCTGAATGTCGTGTGCTTTTCATCTGCCAGCAGACAATATGGTAATAGTGACAAGCTGGAGCAGAAGTGACCAGCTAGCAGCTGACAGGGCATGGTGATAACCTACAGCACGTTGTCAACGTGTGACACTCAAGATTACCTGCAAGAAAATGGTTGAACTACTGTGTGTAATGAATAACAGTTCTGATTAACACTACAGGGAGCATTAAGATGATACTGGAGGTGAATAAATACCATTCAAAAAAAATCAGAAGAAACAACTGGTCAAATCACTGCAGTTCAAGCAATGTCAGTTTTAATAGGTACAAAAGCAGTGTTCTCATTTGGATTGTGTGACTTCTGCAACACCTAAGCTCTGGTGAAGGAGAGGAAGGAGGAATCCTGCTTGGTCTGTGACTTTATGGGACTCCAAAACTGGCCTTGCCTGCTGCTGTATTCCCACCTTGTCTTCATGCAGCTAACCCAAGGGATATGCAAATGCCCCTCCCTTAGGCAAAAGTAAAACTAGATGCTCCTCATAGTAAATGTTTTTATTAATTATCTGCTAATTTTTTCTTGCAATTGTCTTTTTCATCTACAAGCATTTTTATGAAGTCTTAGGACAGTGTTGGCTCCTAGTTGTGCATCATGCATTTCAAGCTTTTTTTTTCTCCTCAGAAGTATCACCAAGTGCTCATAACTCTGCATCTCACTTCACCTGCAG